TCTCTATATTATCCTTTAAATTCTTTTCAAACTCATCTTAAAAATAGAGATAGTTCTAAACTTCATAAAAAAAAGGGATAATTTTAAAGAAAAAAAAAAACTAATACATCCTTAATTTTAAAAAGTTAAATCATTTTGAATCATAAAAAAGAATCAATAATTCATAATATTGGACTAGATAGAGTAGTATAAATTTTTTTTATATAGTTTATATGAGTGTTTAACTTGTTAGATTTTTATTTAAGTGTGGCCCACGTATTATTAATTGATTTTGTATTTATTTATATATATATATATATATATATATATATATTGAATTATAAAATGTATTAAATATTCTTTAATTCTTTAAATTAAATATTGGTATTAAAGGATTGCCGAAAAGAAAAAAATATATTTGTTTTAAAAACGAACTAAAAGAGAAAGTAAAACAAATAAAATAAAACAAATAGAGTAATATGTATGTATTTAAAAACAACAAACAACTATTTTATTTTATTTATTCAAATTATATATATTTTCAATTTTCATCAACATATTTATTTTTGGGATTAAACCAGAACATTTAAAACACAAAACTATACAATAATGCCAATATCTTTTGGTGCTTCTTGATACTAATTCCGAAAAGAATTAATCACGAATGCGACAACTCGTCGTTTCTGATAAATTTTTAAATTTGCTTTGTATATTATAATCTCAAAGAAATATTATTCTCTTTCCCTTTTTTCCTTTTTTTTTTTAAAAATAAATTATAAATTGATAGAGACATAAAGCTTTAAGTTTTCATTCATCAATAATATAATTGTGTTAAACAAATAAAATAAAGTACTACTTTAAATAGCATATAAGGTAAGCCCATGAGTTCATCCATGTTATAAAGTTATGGGTTTGTAGTGGACTTTACTGGTATTTGATTTTCATTTTTGTAATTTTGGGTCCCATTTTTTAGTCTAAAATTAATGAGTATTGTATAGACTGGACAAAGAGAGTAGACCTTGCAGTTTTTTTTTCTTTTGTCAGAAAGGGGGACCTTAATAGCATTTATATACACTAATTTAATTTAATTTAAATTTGCTCCATGTCTATCTATAATATATATTTATCATTTGTGATTTGCTTTGTTTGACCTTAAAACATAATCATGAATAGCACAAGTCACCGCCTATGGATATTAGGTAGCGGATGAAATTGCTTTCTTCTGAGTTTTATATAATTTCGAAACGAAATAAGTATTTAAAATATTTTTAAATTTGACATAAATTATTAATTTTATCTTCAACTTGTTTGAAAGTCTTAAAAATATTTTTTTTTAAATTGAGCTTAAATAGACACCTAATCTTGTCAGATGAGTGAAATACACTCCTGAATTCTTACCAAGTTAAGGGTGTTTTCAAAACTACTTTCGACTTTTATTAAAAGTCTCACACTCCTATAGAGTTTGAAATCATTTGCTATGTCATGTTATAGATATGATGTGTATTTAGTTAGTCAAATAGAAAGATATTTTTAAGACTATAATAGTACAAAAATGAAACTAATAATTCATATCAGGAGTGTTTTTAATATATTCTCTCTTAACAAATTGAAGTAACCTGATGCAATATATGACTGTAACAACTAATTAAATTACATTTTGTAAAACAAAACATGACAATAAATACGAGATGAATTTTAATTTGGCGTATAAAATCTGCATTAAATTCCGATTTAATTTAAATCATGCACTACGATGCTCCTTCGAGATTGATGCTTCCAACCAGATTTTTTTCATATTAGTTACTTGTAATTTGTTAAGTAACGAAAATCATAAAATAGGTTAATTAGTTCAGTATTCAGTGCACCCAACGGGTTTCAACCTTTAAGAGTCAAATTAAAAACTTAACAATGATGAGATGTGATTCTGTGATCCCTTTTGTTCTTTTCCCAACCCATTCCTTTCCTTGTTTTTTAATAAAGAGACTAAAATTAAGGAAATGACAACCTGACAATTAAGAAAATTCAAACTTAATACGTAATCACACATTGTGTTCTTCTTTTAATTAACTTAATACTAATAAAATGATGACAACTAATAGAACGTACGTGGCAGCTAAATAATCACGTCACGTGTTGTTATGAAAGTACACGTGGCTTGGTTTTGTGGAATTAATCATAATTATTTAATTGCTAACTACTCGTTTTTCATGCACTAAACTCCAAAACCCCCCCCAAAAAATATATTAAGTTCGAGGTTTGTACGCTACTTTTCTTACGTAACATTTGTACAGTGTTTATTGTCGAGAAATACTACTTATTGTTTATTTTCTGGACAAGCGTCAAGTGTTGCAGAATTAAATAGTAGTACAACTTTTCCTTTGCATATTACTCTCTCCGTTTAAAAAAGAATGATGTAGTACTGTAGTTTGATTTGAAACAAAATTTTAAAAAATATTTTTTTTTAATCTTGTGGTTTCAAATTAAAGTTATATCAAATGTATCAAAATGTCCTTTAATCTTGTGATCTTAAACATGCCACGTGAAAAGTTAAAGTTAAAATATTGCCAAAAAAAGAAATGAATCATTCTTTTTGAAACAGACTAAAAAAGAAACTAGGTTATTCTTTTTGAAACGGAGGAAGTACTAATTTTTGCATGCATGTAAATATGTAAATTATTTTATGTGAAATAAATTAGGAATATATAATTATTAGCAATAAGAAATAATCATTATAGTGTAAAATTTAATTTATCATAATATTTCATACATTATAAATAAGTCAGAGATAATTAGTGTGTGGACAAAATGGTCTAAGGCAACTAAAACAACAAGTATGAGATTGACTTGCTTGTATTTTAATCAAAAGTCTTGAGTTCGAGCTTTGGATACATATTTTTTTTTAATAATGAGCATTTTACCCTTAATTAGGCCTTGTGTGGTGCAAATCTGAATTTTTCGAGCTCCGATTCAAATACCAAAAGTCAAATGAAAAACCAAAAGAAACTATATGAAAAAAGAGAGTAAAGAATTCAGGTAGATCATTTGGAAAAGAATTAATTAATTTTTTAAAAGTTATATATGTGAACATAAAATTCACATGAAAAAGTAGAAATGAATCTCCCAATTTGTCATACATTTTGGATTTAAATTTGAGTTTTTAAAATTGTATTTGAACATATATTTTATCTAAAAATATTTATGATGAATATTTATGAATAATTATTTTTCTTGAGATACACACTTGAATCAATATTTAAATATCTGTAAGCAACAACATTATAATTACAATATTGAAATTCAATACTAAAAATAGTAGTATTTCATATTGAAATGGGCAACGGATACGATATACCGTCAGAGAGTAGTAAATCTCTGTACCAACAGGGCAGCGGTAAATATTCTTTCATCTTTTAATAGAGGTTTCATGTTTGAGTTCTTCTGGATACGAATTTGTGTTTATGAAGAAGTGTTTTATCTCTAATATGAATTTTTTTAATATAAATTTAAATTTAATCGAATTTTAATATGAAATTATAAATTTTCAAATACCAAACGAGAACCAAAAAATAAAAATTAAAAATAACTCCAGTAACGTGTTTTATAATTTTAACCAGGGAGTGAAAGCCAGGTCTTGGAAAATTGGGTTGCCTCAGCTTTTCCAACTGTAACTTTGACAAATAAGGTTGCTTCAGTAAATGCATCAGACAGCTGCAGTAAATTCCATTTCTATGATTCTATTCAATTTTTCTTACTCAGTCAATAATTATCTTCACCTAATTCACTCATAATTAATCATCTCCTAACAACTAAGCTAATCAATGTAATTAACCACAACACAAGCATTGTTTGATCAATAAGTATATATCAACTCAAAAATGCTAGTAGTATTTTACAGTGAACATTAAACCTAGCTAAATTTTGTGAAATTTGCTTACAAAAAGGCAACCACTTAACATTAGATCTAACTCAATCACTCACTCATTTATTATGTCCTGCTGGTGGCTTACTGCTGGCTCTTACCCAGCAGAGTGATTAGTCAAAATAACTAGTACTAGTAGGTCTTCTGTATCAATTTTAATATAAGTATTAAATAGTCAATAGATGGGACAACCTTGTAATTAAATTACTCCCCTACTCAACTATGGAATCCAAATTAATTAAATTAAATACGCTAGTCCTTTTACAATGAAATAACTGAAATTATGGTCAGTTTATTATGTTTAATTACTCTAAATCATAATTTGGTTAAACAATTAAGTGCTCAAGTATGATTATCCAAAAGGAGAAGAGGACAAGAGTATTGGCATAAGCATTTAACTGATGATGATCAGTATTCAGTGGTATTTATTACACACATGACATACAAAGTCTAATACAAGCAAGTGGGGTGGTGGGGTCACCTGCAGGTTAACCACAGATTAGATTAGAACCAAGGTCAAAAATACACACACTGGTTAACAAGGACAACCACAAAATCAAGATTTTTATTACAAATTTTTTCACCATTAGCCCCTCAACTAATGATAAATTTTTAATTCAATCTTTTATTCCATTTTGGATCATTTTGGTTATGAATCTTCATTAATTTTGTAAATTACTAATTGTTGAACTATTAAATTTTATAAGTGCTTGTTTTAAATAAATGCACTAATATTTTATATTTGAAAGAAATATAATTTAAAAAACATTTTTGTTGTCTAGAAGGAAAAGGGTACCATGTATTTTAATTTTCTTTTAAGGTTAATTGTATTTTCAAATCTTTTAAATGTATGGCTTAGTGATTAATGAATGAATTAAAACTGTATAATTTTGAATTCAAATTTCAGTGTAAATAAGAACATTTGGTTGATTACTTATGCTAATGAGAAATAACATCTATAATTTGCTTGAAGATTGTAATTATAAAATTATACTAATCATAAGGACTAAAGTTAAAGTATGTCACAAGTTAGGGGATGAAAAGCACAAATATACCATTTTATTATCTAAGGTCATCACTATTCATATCTTCATTATCATCATCTTCATCTTCATCAACCCAAAACCATAACCATAAACCAAAACCTAAAAAACACCCTTCATTTCTTTTTCATCCTTTTGTCTTCTCACTTACTTAAGTCCCCCCCTTCTTTTTTTTCTTCCTTCTTATTAACCTTTTTCCTAGGAATAAAGATGGTTCCTTTTTTTGTATGAAATCATCTTGACCCTAAATCTAATCATCTACTAACTCTTGACTAAAAAAAAAAGATAAAAAAAAGAGTGTTAGATGTTTCAGCCATGGACTTAACCAACAACACAACCATTACTACTACTACTACTACAACAGTGAAAACCCCAGAAGCTGAAATTGAAACCCCAACTCAGATCCAAAAACTGAAACCCTTTCCTTTTAGTAATGGTGTTCTTAAAAGGAAGAGTTCCTTTCACCATCATCCTCATCACCCTGTTGTGGTTATTTACAGAGAGTGTCTCAAAAATCATGCTGCTAGTTTAGGGGGTCATGCTGTTGATGGGTGTGGAGAATTTTTACCTTCTCCTACAGCTAACCCATCTGACCCAACTTCACTAAAATGTGCTGCTTGTGGGTGTCACCGTAATTTTCACCGTCGTGAACCGGAAGAACCGGTTGTAATCCCACCGCAACCTATTTCCACCGCGGTGCTTGAGTATCAACCTCACCATCGTCACCATCCTCCTCCTCCACCTCTGCAAGTTCCATGTGGGGACCATAGTAGTCCGAATTCTCCATCTCCACCGCCGATTTCGTCGGCTTATTACCCAGCTTCTGCACCTCATATGCTTTTGGCACTCAGTGCTGGGTTTTCTGGGGAGAAAAATCAGAACCCGACATCAGCTCCGTTAGCTAATTCGAACGGGAGGAAGCGTTTCAGAACGAAATTCACTACAGATCAGAAGGTGAAAATGCTGGAATTCGCTGAAAGAGTTGGGTGGAAAATGCAGAAGAGCGATGAAGATCTGGTGAGCAATTTCTGTAACGAAATTGGAGTTGAAAAAGGGGTTCTTAAAGTATGGATGCACAATAACAAAAACACTTTCGGGAAGAAATCAGATCAACCCAACTCCGGCACCGGCGACGGTGACAACGACAACGATAACGACGACAACCACCACCAGAATGGTAACACTAACAGCGTTAATGGTTTTTGTATTGTTAGTAGAAATAACAACACCGATTCAGAATTTCAACAACATATCCAGCAACATCAGCATGAAAATAACAACAGTGACAACAAAAAAGGCATAATCCACCATCTTCACACAAGTGATAGTGTTGTTGCTACTAATGGGTCTTCTTCATCTTGATCTAATTAGATATGAATGACCCAAAAAAAATATGCACAAATAAAGTTTTAACTAGAATTAGTGCAAGAAAGAGAAAAACTCCGAGGCTGATTACTATTAATCACGTTTATTTTTATTTTTTTCTTCCAATTAGAACTGTTTTATGTTTTGTTTTTAAGGATTAGTGCTCAGCTTGGTGAGGATAACACTGGAAATCAAGATTGTTCCAATGAGCAATTTAATTTGTTAATTTTATTTTTATTTTTGCTTACTGCTTGACTTGTATATTAATTATATATTATGCTACTTAATTACTATAATCTCATTCGATTAAGTAACTTAGCTATTGAGCATTGATTCTTTTTACACTTTTTTGTGCTGTTAAAAAAAAATTGCATGTCTGCAATTAGGTATAGTATATAAATTTCTGTAGCTATTTGTCAGAGAAAAGAGGAGGAATGACAGGGGTAATAGGGACTATAGGGAGTGGGGGGGTGGGGAAGGGCAGTGTTCCATTTCGATTCTTGTCTGAGATGATGAAGCACAAAGTGATTTAACATGGCATTAATTTAGGGAGATTAACAGATAATTAAATTAATTATCATAGTATCTCTACACTCACCCTATGTGAGAGTTGCTCGAATGATAAGCACACTCCTTTTTTATCTGAAGGTGGTGAGTTGAAGCTCTTAGAGAAGGGTTAAAGAAAATCTCCCTTTGTTTAGTAGTAGTTGTTCATTATTGATTTTTGCACATTTTTTAAGAAACTATAAATAGAAGAGGGATTTAACAATATCATTTTTTGAATATAATAATATAATATCTTAAAAAATGTAATAAGAAAATGACCATTCATTTGATATTATAAAGTGATTAAGTATTATTGGATATTTCAAAATAGTATAGTGAATAATTATTGTTGGATGTACGTACGGAGTAAAATTAACAATGTATTTTGCAAATCAAATACCATGGTTTAATAATCAACACTTTTTAATTGGTTGATACTATTAATTGGAAATTTTGTGAAAGATTTTTTAGAATAGTTTCATTTCATTAACTCCAAATTCATGTCGAGTAGATCTGGTTATGAGAATTTTTAATTCGTGTACAAATCGACTTATTATACTTCTATTTAGACCTTCTATTGTGGGTTTAAGTGGAGTATATTAACGGATTTTAATTTGTTACAAGTTATTTATTTTTGTTTGAAATTCACCATATTGCAATTACTTTAAACAGCTGCATGTTAATTCTACTAATATATACTGAATTAGTGCATAAAATCTTTGTTTCTTCTTCTGTTTGTCTAGTTAAAGATTTCATGGTATTATAACCACTGGATGACTTAATTGTTAATTTAACTAATGGTACTACTTATAGTAATATTTGTTTGTTGGTATAGTACTATGAAAAAGTTTAATATAAAGAAAATGTAGGAGCATGATATAGAATTTAGCTTTTTAAGCATTTTGGGATTATGCGCAAAGTATAGTTTGGTGGGCTTGATACGGACAAAATTCTATCCACTCTTAAAATAATATTAATTAAACGAATATATGCTTAGGAGATGATTAAACTCTAGCTCACAGTTTAAGCTATCAACAAACTTCCTTAAAAATTCCTCTCCGGTCCTATTTTATGTAGTTATCAATATTCTTTTAAAATCTCAAATATTTATCTATTTATTAAATTTTATTATTTTATTCTTAAAGTAATTAATATCAATAAATTGAAAAGAAATAGGGTAAATTAGTAAAAGGAAAATTATTTATACTTCTGTAATTTTTTCAAAAATATAACACTACCTTCGTCTACTTTTATTTGTCACAGTTTCTTTTTTTAGAGTCAAACAATAATAACTTTGATTAACATTTTATGATACAAATAAATTTCAATTTATAGTACTTTTCGTATAGTTTTTAAATATCTAATTTTTTTTAAAAAAAAATTGAATTAATATAATCTAATTTAATTTTAAAAATTAATTAAATTGACTTTTGAAAAACACAACATGATAATTAAAATTGGACAGAAGGAGTAACTAATGATATGTGGAGTTCAAATTTCAATCTTCCTTCATTCATCAAACTTTTGATAGACCTAGGTCATAACTTCAGTGTACTCTCAAGCTGTCCAATTTATCTGAACAGTTTTTTTATCCTTAAAAATCACAATTTTTAAAATTAAAATAATGAAATTTTAAAAAAATTATTTTGTTTTAAATTAGTAAAGGTAATTTATGACTACATAAATATCTACCATTTATCTGAATAGAAATAACAATAACATATGTTTCAATTTCAGTATAAAGGTAGAAGGAGAATGTGGTGTTTATAGTTTTATTTTAATTTTGACAAGGTAAAACTATTATTTTTAATAGATCCTGGCTCGAATAAACATACTAAATTCAAGTATGAAAAATAAGCATAATAATAAAAAAATCACGTTAGAGAATAATTGATGAAAAAAAAACACTGTTGAGGCATATATATGTTCATTTACTTAACTTTCCTTTAAAGGAATGGAGTGTAGAATAACAATTTGAAGTTTTTATTTTTTTAATTTTTTTCATCCAATATTTGATATTCATAATAAAGTTTGACTATCTAAAATTATGCTACGTAAGGCCCCATTCAAAAAAATACTCCTTATTAAAAAAAAAATTAATATTCAAAACTCAAATTCAAAATTACTGATTAAAGAAGAAGGCAGCCTCATCGAATGCGTTTGAAGTTAGTCAAATAGAAATTATTATGAGGTGAGGAAAGAATAGGGGCGAGTCCATCACCTATTACTGTAGCACAAGGTGGGTGTTCTCATTTAGGTACTGTGACTACTAATTCATAAAAAAGTCAGTAATCTTGTTTTCCTCGAAATGTGCACCTATTCTAGAGGCGGAGTCGGAATTAGGGATGATAATGGACCGATGCGGGATGAGGCAGTGCGGGTTGAGCTTAACCCGCAAAATTTTTAGTTCGCCCGCATAACAATTTATTACATTTTCAATCCGCTCCACCCCGCCGGCATAGACCCGTCCCGTATGAATCCGCACCGCATAATATTTTTAATATATTCTTTTTCTAGTTAAGTTTGATACTTAAAATATAATTCATAAAAATAAATTCATTTTTTCATTAAGTTGTATTAATTTAATAAGATAGTGACTTAAAAAAATATTTTTTAGGGGTTAATTAGGAAACATGTAAAAAATTGTATTATTTTTTATTGTATCATTTTTATTTACTATCTTGAATATTTTAGTAGTTAAAAGAAATTATGTTAATAAATAATGATCTATGACTGTTATAAGATGTAAAAAGTTAAAATTAAGTTTGAATTCACATAAAATCACATCTACCCGCAACCTGCTCCGCCCCACGTTAGTTTTCAAAAAACCCAATTCAACCCGCCCCGCACAACCTTAAACCCGCCCCACCCCACATAGCCTTAAACCCATCCCTCCCCACATCCGTCCCGCTCCATTGCCATCCCTAGTCAAAATTAAGATTTGGTATTCTAAATTGTTAAGAGTTCATGAATTAATATACATATATATTTAATTAGTTTTCTAGTATAAATACAGAATCTACGAAAAATATACTATATTTATCTAAACCCAAAAACTCCACCTAGCTTCGTGTTTGAATCCATCATATCCTTTCAATTTAACAAACTAACCATATGGGACATTGAGTTTTTTTTAAAGTCTATTATTGAAATTAAGAACAATTAAAGTTAATATTTTGCTTTAAATAAGGCATATTTTTCATTTTTAAATGGTCAAATCCAAAACTTTTAATTATCAACTATTCAATAATAATTCATGTTGTCCTTTTTTATAAATGTTTTTTTGGAGAAGGTTGGGTATTAGCTGTCCTCTCTGAATTACACATAATTCATTTTTTTCTTTTATTCTAATCATGACTTTTATTATCGCTCTATATCTAAATCATATAAATAATGACGAGAAATTGGGTTCCAATTAATTTCTTAAATATATTTATATCAAACAAGTTTTTTCCACAATTCCTGTTTAATCTAATGATTAGAATTTTTCTTAAATATACGACTAAAATTAGAGTGCTCATTTTCCCTTCTTAAATTAAAAAGACTAAAAGAGTTCAAAAGTATAATGAATGGATTGTTTTAGACATACCTCTCAATATAAGGGACTATTTTTGTAAATTTCTCTTAAAATGATCATGAGGTCAAAAAAGTAATAATACCTGCAATCTCTCTTCCTAAACACCACATGTAAGTTTGTTTTTAGTCTTCTCAATTTGGCAATTAAGGATTTTTTGGGGGAGAAAATCCCAAGAATCTAGTAATTTTTGCGTGATTTCAGTATAAATATTTAAAAATGATCATTTATAAAATATACTATGTTACGATTTACAAAGTCATAACAAAGCATCCTCTTGGTCTAGTAGCAGAACGATATGAGGGTTTGAATCTCCTTGGACACTTAGGGTGTGTTTGGTATGAAGGAAAATGTTTTCTTGGAAAACAAGTTGGATTTTGACTTATTTTCCCATGTTTGGTTGGTGAGTAGAAAATATTTTTCGGAAAAGATTTTTTTTGTTTGATTTATGAATGAAAAATGTTTTTGAAAAATTTCTTTTATTTTTACTAGAGTAGAAAATAATTTTTGAAATTGAAAATACTTTTTAAAAACAAACTTAATTTTTTTTGGGGTGGGGGCTGGTAGGGGGTGGGGGGGAAGGGGTCGAGGGCAGGGGTGAAAAATTGAAATTTTGAAGTTAAAAATATATTTTTTTTAAAAAAACTTAAATTTTTTTTTTTTGGGGGGGGGGGGGGGGGGGGGGCTGGTAGGGGGTGGGTGTGTGCGTGGGGGGGTCGAGGATAGGGGTGAAAAAATGAAATTTTGAAGTCGAAAATATTTTTTAAAAACAAACTTAAACTTTTTTTTTTTTTGGGGGGGGCTGGTAGGGGGTAGGTGGGTGGGGGGGGGGGTCGAGGGTAGGGGTGAAAAAATGAAATTTTGAAGTCGAAAATATTTTTTAAAAACAAATTTAAATTTTTTTTTGGGGGGGGGGGGGCTGGTAGGGGGGTGGGTGGGGGGTCAAGGGTAGGGGTGAAAAAATGAAATTTTGAAGTCGAAAATATTTTTTAAAAACAAAATTTAAATATTTTTTTTTGG